TCTATTTATTAACAGATTGACTGAAAGAGTTTGTTAATTTTATGTGATTTAAAAATTTGTCTAGGCAAAAAAAGCGTTTATATGTTAATGTTCCTTTGTATATTTGTTGCATACCTTTGTTTTATATAGTAATGCTTAGACGAAAGTGAAATACAACTTGCTTAATATATAAACTTAATAGTTTCAAGAATAAAGGTCGGATTTCGATCAATTGGCGGCCACTAGTACTCACAGATGGTTCTTTTAAAAGTAATATATCAAGTACAATGACAGACCAGGAGTCACTGAGTTTATTCCTCACAAGCAATAATTAATATTTAGCTTTCTTTTATTTTAGCTAGTTTTAGGTGTCTAAAGACAAGTGCAGCCACGTCATATTCTTGTTCATCATCATCAGTTTACAAAAGTTCACGACTGGACTTAGCACTCTCCCGTTATAGGGATGACTTGTCTATATCAACCATGGCAGGCGGACTGGCATTCGCAGTGCCAGACATCTTGCACTTCTAACGCCGCTTCCTTTAACCGATCTTGGTGACTAATAAATTAAGTAGACGACTTTTATTAAAAGGTATTTTCTTATTTGTTTCGTTAGTAGTTGTTTACGTTTTATCAATTTAGTTGAATTTTATTATATATAATAAGGATTTAGATAAAAGATAAAATGCAAAGTCCTTTGAATTGCTTTTCATTGCTTGCAAATTTTTATAATTATTTTTCTGTTTAGTTCACTTTTCCTAATTGTCTATTGCATGTCTCAATTTTTTTATTCGATATAGAGTACATGTAATTCTTATTAAAAGTCATTTTTTACTTTATTATGCATATGCTAAGCATATGCATAGCCGCAAGGAAGTTAGGTGACCTTGCAAAGGCGCTGCAATGTAAAACGCAAGTCTGGGCTGATGCTGTCATATATCATGCATATGACACCGAGAGCTCTGGACTCTGGACTCCATGGAAATGCGTGATTTATTGGTGACCATTAATCTCATCTCAGACACTTGGCCGGTCTCTAACTATTTGGTGACGTCATACCACACGCTGGAACCAACCAATTTACGTCCGTAATGGAGTGCAATAATTTGCTACAATAATGCTACCTTTAGAGTCCAGTGGTAGCACTGGGGCTAATTTTTTTTATAGGATAGTGTGACAAACGAGCACACAGTCTACCTGATGGTAAGTGGTTGCTGTGGCCCATAGACATCTACATCTATCTTCGTTTGCGAATCAAAATGCAGATGCGTTGTCACCTATGAGGGCTAAGATGGAATGCCTCTTTTCCAGTAAAAAGGGTCTCGGGATCTCTAAACTCACCACACGAAACAGCAGTATTAAGCTGCCATTTTACTCTGGTATTCTGTGAGAGCGTGGTCCTTCCCCGGTCGAGCCGACCCGTTCGTGCTACAACTATACTACTAATATAGCTGCAGCATGGCTCTACCACTAACTAAATTAATTAGTTGCTCCACAACCCTCTCAGAAATGAGAGGCGGCTTGTACCGAACACTGGTGGAACAAAGTCTTTGCGTTACAATCTACAGTTAAATCATCATTTGCTATCAGGTGGGATAGCAGTCAGGCACTCACTTATAATAGTTAAAAAAAAAACGTGGGTTCAGAATTCAAAAGTGGTTGATGAAAATCAACAAATGATGTTATGCGAGTTGATAATGTTGCTTCTACAGACTTGTTATAGATATTAATCACGCCTAGAATAGTGGGAAGTAAAATCTTAAAAAAACATTTTTAGTTCAGTTACTTCCCATACAAGTAAATGGAAGATATTTTTTTTACCCGTCTATTCCATCTTGTGGGGTATCGTTGATAGGTCTTTCAAAAAACACTAGGGGTGTAGAACAACATCTTTTCGATTCAGGTGTCCGTTTGCGAAATATATAGCTTTAAAGGGGTATTTTTCATTAGTCATGTGACCCCCCTCTACCAACTGAACCGCTGTTTTCGGGAATGTGAATAGTATACACGATAGTAGTAAGTTAAAAGGAAAACTACCACAGTGAAGTACAGTTAAGAACTTAAACAAGTAATAGTCGACCAACTTATAAAATGCACTTGGATTAGAAAAAATTTCGTTATAATTCCATACAAAATGACCTAAAATTAGCTGCATTATTTATGCATATATTACTTTGTAATGTTATTGTAAACTGTTAAAATAAAAAATTTATTTGAAGAAAACGACTTACATATGCATTACAACTATAGCTTTTCTTTTTCATTTGCGGGATAGGCAGGGAGAATCCTTCTTACTTACTACTTTCACTTAATGATTGCTTTCCAGCACCCGAAACGTCGGGAATTAATAAAAAAATAAGGAAAATAAGTTTATTAAACGCGATAAAATCCGTAAAAGTAGTTTTATTCAATACTTTCACTTTTTTTTAGTTGGTAGTTATTGTAGGCCTCATTCAAAGGATTCATACAATAATATAGCCTCATACAGTTTCATTCGTCACATTCTTGATTTACGCGGGCGACCTCAGGATAATTTAAAGCAGTGGTGGTTTAGGTACGTGAAGGTTCGTTACGGTCATTATTTTAGGGTTGCACTGTCGGGGGTATATAGATAGATAGTCAGCTATGATCATCTTTGTACCTAGGCAACACAAAGATTTGATGTAAATTGAATTATTTTCAAAATCAAACATTTTTTTAATCTTTTTGAATATCACTCCTCTGATTATCTGTCTCTGATAGTCTGATTTGAAAATTAGTCTTTCAGTTACGATCTTCCTATTTGGGTCTATTTTAAGTCGTAGCAGTTCAAACCGCGTACCTACTTATTATGCTCATTATCGAGAAAGTCCACGTATTGTGAGGGGCAACTACGGAACCCTATATATATATATATATATATATATATATATATATATATATATATATATATAATAGGGTACGGAACCCTATTTATTGTAAAGTTTATTTTAAAAAAAAGTCCCGCTGGGTTTCTTGCTGGTTCTTCCCAGGACAGAGGTTATTTTTCGAACCAGTGATAAAGTATAAATGACTTTCAATAAGAATTACACATGTAATGTATATTGAATTAAAAATTATGCTATTCTATTCTATTCCTATCACTACATTGTGCGTGGCCCAACCCGCACTTAGCTAGTTTTTTTTGAGTACATTTAAATTTATATCGAAATATTTAGTTGAGATATTATATATATATATAGGGTACGGAACCCTTTTTATTGTAAAGTTTATTTAAAAAAAAAGTCCCGCTGGGTTTCTTGCTGGTTCTTCCCAGGACAGAGGGTTTTTTTCGAACCAGTGATAAAGTATAAATGACTCAATAAGAATTACACATGTAATGTATATTAAATAAAAAATTATTCTATTCTGTTCTATTCTATTCTATTCCTATCACTACATTATGCGTGGCCCAACCCGCACTTAGCTAGTTTTTTTTGTGTACATTTAAATTTATATCGAAATATTTAGTGAAGATATTCTTTCAATTTTACGTTTTGAGGAGATATTTAGGTCCTTTTGTATTAATGAAGTAGACGTATTTTAGAAACTAGTTGTTACCGCGGCTTCGCAAGCAAAATTTGGCTTATGATAAAAATACCTATCTGCAATTTTGGGGTTGGGGAAGAGCGCGCACCTTAGCCATGTCTTCGTGCTACTAAAGATAGATTAAGAAGATTAAGATTAATAATTATAAAAAAAAAACTAGGCAATGTCCTTTAGGGCTCAAGCCTTCCCAGTATCGAATTTAACCAAAATCAGTTTATTGGTCATATTAATTATAACAAGTTAATGTTATAGTTGGTCTTTCTCGGTATTGACATTAATATTTGAATAACTCGGAGAAATTAAATTGTTATATTGATACACTCATAAGAGATTACATTTTTTAGAAGTAAGGTTAGGAAACAAGCACACAGTCCATCTGATGTCAAGATGTAAACACACACACACACACTCACACACACACGCAAATATGCACAAGTATGAATAAAACAGCGTATTGTACAACTTATTTTTAAATAATATGTAAATACTATAGAAGACTTTCCGATTTCATATTGTTAAGATACTCGTCAGGTAAGATACTAAAGTTAGGGTTAGTACTTAGTACCATAAAATACTCTTACCAATGCTTTATTTCGTTAATGTTATTGTAATTAGCTATGGAAAAGAGAAGACACCTATTACAAGCATTATTTTGCTTAATAAGTGACTTCGATCACTGACCATAAAATGTGATTTTAATATTAATTTGACGAAATAAATAATTAAATTAAATTTAATTTTAATTCAAAGCTACGCCATTGCTGTAGCCATAGCACAATTGTAGCTTGACTCTACCACGTGTAAAGTGTCCAAAAGCATATTTGATAGTCTTATATTATTATATTTTAGAATTTCTCTTTTTAGAAACTTATGAATTCATCAATTAGTTCATATCAAAAGATTTCGCTGAGTAAACTCACTAGTGAATTCTAATAACCATATTTTATTGTACATATTTTTTATATAATTAAACTATTCGCGAAGGTAAATATAAAGGTAATTAAGGTAATAATAAGCATCTATTTCAAATACCTTATAAAGCTCACAATAATTACGTGCGTCTCAATCCTAAGAAGCTTTCTTGTAGAGTGGTATCTAAGCTTCATTCATTATTCTAAATTACGTTCGCACATTATTATCCGTAATAGAAATTCATCCAATCATTCATTACAGCCCATAGACAGTCCACTGAATACAGGCCACCCAAATTGATTGCCTCTTATGGGGGATGTATTACAATGTTGTCATGCTTGGCAGGCGAATTGGCAACCGTTTTTTATTATTTTGAATTGTTATAAGAAATGGTTCTGCCTATTTCCTGTTTCACTTTGTCGCCTCTTATACCCCAGAGATGATATGGAGTTGTGGATTCATTAACGAAGCCACTACATGGCAAATATAGAAATAATTTCTGTATCAAATTAATTTGTTGAAAGGAAAATTATATTCTTTACCATCTGATGCTGCTGTATTTGACGATGTGACGCTCAGTGATGTAAGCTTCAATTGTATAATCTTATTGTCCATTCTTTTCATTTAATTAACAGTTTATGTAACACGACACGTCTCGTCTTGTATCTTGTAAAGAAAACAGTTGAATAAAAAATTAATAACTACAATCAAGTCAAGATTAGATATTAAAATGTTTTATCTAAAATATTATTATTGGCTTTGACCGTCGAATAGATTATGTATTCAAAGTCATGGAATAAAATAGGCTCTAAGCGGATTTACGTGGGCGTGTATTGAAAAGTGTACAAAAAGTGCGTGTTGCCAATGTTGACAACTGGGTCTGAGTCATGATACTTCACAACTGGCCGTAAGATGAAGCTTACGGTCGCTCAGCGAGCTGTACAGAGGGCTATGCTAGGAATGCCTTTGCTTGATAAGCTTCGTAATAAGAATATTCACAATAGAATCAGAGTAACCGACATAGCTGAACGAATCAGTAACCTGAAGCACTGGACCGGCCATATAATTCGAAAAACTGACAACCGACAGAAAAGTTCTCGAGTAACGACAAGCGAAGTGTAACACGGTTTCTCGTTAGTTGGAGTGACGATCTGGTAAGTATTATAAAGTACTTATATATATAGCTGCATATTTAATCTTTATATATAAAAATTACGAGTCATATTGTTTGTCCGCGATGAACTCCTAAACTACTGAACTGGTTTCAATGAAATTTGCACACTATGTGCAGTTTAGCCCAACTTGAGAGATAGGATACTTTTTATCCTGATAAGTGACACTCAATATTTTTATCAGAATTTCAATATGAGTACAGGTTTAGTAAAGTAATAACAGCTCAAGACACAATTCTAGATTTTCGGTCTTTTTAATCCTTAAAAAGGCCTTTTAGACCGTTTCTATTTTCATTCTTGTAGACAAGTTAGAGAGTGTTGGGATCAGGGAGATTGTGCTCTCTCCTTTTAGTAGTTACCTTCGTAACAAAACCTAAGCTGTGAAAATAGATAGCTTCATTAGTGACGAAGATACCGTTAAAATTGATGTTCCGCAGGGACTTCCTTAGCCCAACCCTCTTTAATTTATAGCAATGAATTGTGTAACTTACAGGACGTCGGGGGAAGGATTTTTTCTTATGCGGATGATACCAACTGGCTGCGAAGGGCTTAGCTTATGTGTCGAAACGGCTGAGGGGTAATCCTTTGATAATTTGCTCCCGACACATCGTCCAGCCAGGATATTATTGTATCGAAATCCACAGCTGCCTAAATCTTGAAAATCCTCGTGTGTGTGTCTGCTTATAAATAAGGTGAACGAAACTAAATACCTCGACATCATCGTTGATCAAAGGCTTAGTTGGCACTCGCAGTTGGAAGCTGTTATAAATCGGATCTTAAAGTTAATCTGGGTATTTAAATCATTATGGTCAGCTATGTCTAGCACTCTATTAAATAAAATTTACAAGGCCTTAGCACAATCGATAATTTCCTTCTGCATCCCGATCTGGGGAAGAGCCACTAAGACCAACTTTTTAGATCTGGCAAGAGCACAGAGTTCTCTTATAAAGGTCATGTATTTCAAACCTTATAGATTCTCCAATAACACCCTAATTCAGATTAGTTAACTTCTCTCAGTTAGAAAGCTTTATGTTCGCCCAGTGACAGCGGCAACTTGGTTACAGATTCGGATCAATTGCTCGACCGATCTGCATATTGTATGAGGGCAAGCGGCCTATTTTGATAAAGAAATTCGAAACAATATTTTTTTATAGTATAGGGTGACAAACGAGCACACAGTCCACCTGATAGAAAGTAGATACAGTGGCCCATAGACATCTACATCTATCCTTGATTAAGAATCAAAATGCAGATGCGTTTTCACCAGTGACGACTAAGATGGAATGACCCGTTTCCAGTAAAAAGGGTCTCCGGTTCTCTACACTCACCCCACGAAACACAGCAGCGCTAAACTGCCATTTGACGCTGGTATTCTATGAGAGCGTGGTCCTTTCCCGGTCGAGCCGACCCATTCGTGCTACAACTACACTACCAATATAGCTGCAGCATGGCTCTACCACGTATAAATATGATTGTTATTATTGTTTTTTATAAGTTTAAAAAGAAGTAAATAGCACTAACGTGAAAAATTACTTATATATGAAAGTGCTATGTTTTGTAAATTTGACGTGGCAAATCTCTTTGCGTATCAAAAACTGAACAGGACGTCGATTCAGCCGCGCAACTAGATTTAGTCTAGTGAGCAGTGCGAATGAGACTAGTTTTATTGTAAGCATAGTATCTCACGTGACATTATCATTTGATAAAGAGAAACCCTTGCGTATGGCTACTTCCCTCCGATCTGTTGTAGAATTTCTGTAGTTTTCACGCAAAAAATTTCTTGTGTGAAGAGTAATGACATATATAGTAAACGTGAAAATTGAAAAATTGATAAGGCGATAAACTTCTTAATCCTCTATGATAAAATTCGCTATTATTGACCTTCAGCATTTTTTAACTACATTTTATATCTCTAAGGTATCTTTAATATTTTTATAAGTTAAAAGGACATGACCTATCTACTAGAAAATCGAATTACTCTGCGATGTCAATTTTTTTTATAGGATAAGGGTGACAAACGAGCACATAGTCCACTTGATGGTAAGTGGTTGCTGTGGCCTATAGATATCTACATCTATCTTCGATTATGAATCAAAATACTGATGCATTGTCACACGTGAGGACTAAGATAGAACGCCTCGTTTCCAGTAAAAAGGGTCTCCTGTTCTCTACACTCACCATACGAAACACAGCAGCATTAAGCCACTATTTTACGCTGGTTATTCTGTGAGAGCGTGGTCGTTCCCCGGTCGAGCCGACCCATTCGTGCTACATTTATACCAGAAATATAACTGCAGCATGGCTCTACCACCTAAAAATAATCTAATCTAACCTTTGGCGTTGTATTGCTATGATATATAGAAGAAATGACCATGCTCTTGCAACACCAGCGTAAATAAATTTGGCGGCTATTTAGCAGTTGATAAAAACGAAACCTAATTAAGGTTAGATAGAAAGCTTTGTTTGGGGACATAATGCATAATGCTTGGTGCACCAAGTATAAATGAATATCATCATCATCATCATTACAGCCCTTCACAAGTCCACTGCTGAACATAGGCCTCCCCCAAAGAATGCCACAAAGCACGGTCCTGAGCCACCTGCATCCATCGACTTCCTGCATATCTTACCAGGTCGTCACTCCATCTAGTGGGGGGACGCCCTACACTTCGCCTGCCGGTACGAGGCTGCCACTCGAGAACCTTTCTTCCCCATCGGTTGTCGGTTCTTCGAGCTATATGGCCGGCCCATTGCCACTTCAGCTTACTAATCCGTTGGGCTATGTCGGTCACTCTAGTTCTACTGCGGATATCCTCATTTCTGAGTTTATCACGCAGAGAAACTCCGAGCATAGCCCTCTCCATAGCTCGCTGAGCGACCTTGAGCTTCCTTATCCGGCCAGCAGTGAAGGACCACGTCTCAGTTCCGTATGTCATCACTGGCAACACGCACTGGGTGTACAGTCTCGTTTTCAAGTTTTGAGGTATACCTGACGAGAAGATGTGCCGTAATTTCCCGAACGCTGCCCAACCGAGTTGAATCCGTCGATTGACCTCTCGGTCGAAGTTGGACTTACCTAGTCGGACTATTTGTCCCAGGTAAACATACTCGTCAACAACTTCGAGCTTAGTGTTCCCAACAACTACCGGCATAGGTGTGACATGGACATTAAACATGATCTTTGTTTTGTCCATGTTCATCTTAAGACCTATCCGTTGGGAAACACTATTGAGGTCATTGAGCATAGTGCTTAGGTCCTCCAGCGATTCTGCCATAAGGACTATATCGTCGGCAAATCGAAGGTGAGTGATGTACTCGCCATTGATGTTGATACCGTATCCTTTCCAGTCCAGAAGCTTGAAAACATCTTCCAATGCAGCGGTAAAGAGTTTCGGGGATATGACGTCACCCTGTCTTACACCTCTCTGCAATTGGATAGGTTTCGTACTCTGGTTCTGTACTCGGATAGCCATCGTAGCCCTACTGTACAAGCACTTCAACACTTCGATATACCGACAGTCAACTTGGCATCGCTGAAGGGACTGCAGCACCGCCCAAATTTCGACGGAATCAAAGGCTTTCTCATAGTCCACATACGCCAGACATAGTGGCAAATTGTACTCCTCGGACTTCTGTACAATTTGCCGAAGGGTATGTATGTGGTCTATGGTGCTAAAGCCTTTTCGGAAACCGGCTTGTTCGGGAGGCTGAAAGTCGTCAAGTCTGCGCGCGAGACGATTCGTAATGACTCTCGAAAACAGCACGTAGACGCGGCTCAGAAGGGAAATCGGTCTGTAGTTCTTCAAGAGAGCGTTGTCGCCTTTCTTGAAGAACAAGACCACCGCACTTCTGCTCCACGCCTCCGGTGTAATGCCACCATGGAGGACGGAATTAAAGAGCTTCTGAAGGACTTCAAGTACCGGTTTTCCACCCGCTTTCAGAAGCTCCGCTGTAATTCCATCCTCGCCTGGGGCCTTGCCGTTTTTAAGGTGCTGGAGAGCCATTCTAATTTCGCTCAGACTGACGTCCGGGATATTATCGGAATAATGTCGGATAAGACTCGCTCTTGGATCGTTACTCACACCTGCGTGCGGCTCCAACGATGACGTGTACAGCTGTCCATAGAACCTCTCAATCTCACTCAAAATCTCAGGTGCCGCGGAAACGATGCTGCCACATTCTGTCTTCAGCTTTGACAGTTGGCGCTTTCTGGCAGACAGATCTCTGGCAAAGACTTTGGAGCCTTGGTTCCGCTCGATCGCTTCTTCAATACGAGCTGTATTGAAGTTGCGTAAGTCTCGCCGCATGCATTTGGAGATCTGTCTGTTCAGTTGCCTGTATGCTGTTAAATCTGTTGAAGAATGTAGCTTCATCTCCCGTCTAACAGCCATGAGATTAAGAGTGTGATCGGAGAGTTTTTGTGTTCTTCTGCGGCGGGTCTTG